ACAAGACTTACAATGCTATTTAAAAAAAAAAATTGAAGGTATGTGGCGGGATGTTGAGGACAATAGGTGAGTTGGTACTCTAAACATTTCCCTCATGCAGTTATTTTGTGTTAAGAAACAACAGGTTTATTGGTTGTTGCCATCCTTGTATTTGTTTGGTGAAGCTAGGTTTTTGGTTTGTTTTGTTTTTAGAGGTAGAGGTTAGTTGAGGCCTGGTTTTATTATATTGGTTTCTTTTTTTTGGCACAACCCACAATGTCCATTCCTCTCCCCACATTTGGCAAACCTCGTGTTAAGTTTGTAAATAAATCACTTTTAATTTTTACACTTCTACTGTTTGGGAAATACAAGGTCCTTCAAACTCCTTCAATTATTTGATTGCCATGTTGTTGTCTTTTTTTGTCTCCCATTTTCAAAAGGGGACATAACACCAGCCTATGTTAACATACGTTATGTTCACAATCAATGAAGCATTTGTTCATTATTAACATTAAGTATATTTATGTTTATATTATATTTATATTAATTGTATATACAATTCTTTAAAAATGTGAAAACAACCACCTAAAAGATTCATATCCCTGCATGTGCATTAAATTATTAAACACACTAAAACATTAAACTACCATGTGGCTTATAAATGCTTTATATGGTGTTTTATTGTCTATTTTATTTCACAGTATAAACGTGTTGTGTTTTAGATAAGTCTCAATAGTTTAACATCTTGTCCTTATCATGTTTGAAGATTTTTTAAATGAGTACAAAGTGAGCTGCTGTAAAAGGAATCCCCACAAAGAGGATGCACAGACATGTCATCACCTTCACCAGCAGTATATGGACTCATGGAAATGGCATTGAAAACAAGTTCCTGACCATCTGATGTTTGGGAAATACAAGGTTTTCTGCCAGTGATGATATAGTGTGAGCCAGGATGGGTGTGGTTGGTGCTGTCGCCTACTTGCAGTGGAAAAACAGGGTTTGAAAGAGGAGGAGGGATCAATGCTTCTGATTTAGAGAGTGGAAAACTTGCTGAGACATGGACGACACCCAGAATATTTCCTGATGTCACTCTGGGTTTTATCTCTTCACATCCCGTGGTGAGGCCACATCTGACAAAGGACTGCTGAAGCCACAGAAGAGGACTGGTGAAGCTGGTTATCATGATAGTTTTTTCCATAAAAATAATGCACTTATTTGATTACGCGTACACTGTTATTTGCTTGTGCAATATTGCTATGGTCGCAAAGCTGGATCACCAGGCCAGAAACTGGTGTGTATGAACAGGGGTGCAGGTTGTGTGGTTTCACTGGGCCCCACAGGATGGAGAGGCTCATAGAGAGAGCAGGTCCTCCAACAATGGTTTGGATGGAGAACGAGTTTAAAAATAATCTGTTAAAAGAACTTGTACAATTTAAAGTGGTGCCATTTGCTATATACGCCGTCAAAAAAGCAAACCCTTCATGTTTTCTTTTTTCCTTTTTTTTAGATAGTAGCAAACTATAACAAAATTATGTGCTGATTCTACATAATAATTTTTAAAAAAAGTAATAAAATAATGATTTTTCTTTGGCATTTTTGTAATAAACAGATATGCAATGATGATTGCTGGGTAATATGTATGTTGATGTTATCCAGTGTCAAGTCTCTATTTGATCATGTGACAAGACAATAGATATCGATAGTTTAGGCGCAAATGTGTCAAGACTGACAAGCTGAGTACATTTGCAAACCGATTGCACACTCATGACTAGTAACTAGTGGGCACTAGGGCCGGTCATAATTACCTTACGTCACTGGTATCTAAGGAAAGGCCATTGTGTTAACAGTAGGGTGACAGGGGCACCCTACGGGGGCACTTAGAAAATAGTTTCACGTGCTAGCACCATCGTCAGGTAAAATTTTAATTTGTTTATTACTTTGGTTTATGACCACATATTTTTAAAATTAAAGATATTACCATCATGTGTTTGTGTTTGGTGCTAATTAGCAAATGTTGGCTGTCAGACTCTTTGTCTTGTTTCAACGTGTTAGTTGTCTCTCCTCAATACTTTTCAACATCTGCAGCCTGTCTGGATCTCAGCTTCAAGCCTAACTATTCCAAGACATAAATCCTCAGAAATAGTTTATGAATATGAATTTCATGTTTAGAAAAGGCAAAATCATCCCTCAAAAGAGCTGATCACTGTCGTTTTTGACAAATGTTACTCAAACTGGAGTGAATTCTGATTTTGTAGGGGAACTACTTTCAGCATAGCCTGGAAATCCGGACCCAAATCTAGAAAGATTTAGGGTCTGGCCATGAGTAATGCAAATGGCCCAACTCGAGGGGCGGCACCAAGCATACATTTGTAAATATCACTGCACACAATTGGATAACACTACGACCAATCAGAACAATACACGGGGTGATGTATCCAGAGCGCTACCAGCGGAGCTAACTGGTAGATTAGACTCTTGTCGTATCCGGTCGGCAAAACAGCAAAAACATCCTTCTTGCAAAGGAAAGATTCGAGTGCCATCTTCTGTTCCTCTTTTAGAGAAAAAGCCAAGTCTAACTCGTTCACTGTAGCGGCCAAAGCCATTTCAAACAACTAGTGTTCATCCGTAGTCATCTTGCAGTGTTTACTGACTGATTCCGGACTTCACCGTCGCAGTGCTGTCGTCATCTTTAGCTCGCCTCTGGCCCGCCTATATCAGATACACCAATGTGATTGGTGCAGCTGGGTTCCAACGGCATGGGTAATGAGCATCATTACTGATTGCCAGAGTGACTCGCTGAGCAAATTCAAATTGTGCTCTTGCGAGAACTCTGGATTTCCAGGGTACTTTCAGCAGTGGATTCGTCACAATATTAATTATTTACAGCACCAAGATGGTAGAGCTTCATGAAAAAAAAAAGAAACCAAATGTCCAAATGAAGGAACATGTCATCCAATGCAACAGTGTGGCTCAGTGATGTGCTTTTAATAGTTCTCAGACAACAATTAATTCACAAAAAAAAAATAATAAATAAATAAAATAATAAATAAATAAAAAATAAAAATAAAAAAAGTTAAAAAATTTGGTGGCCAAAGGAGCTCAAACCTAATTTTTTTTGTTTTTTTCTGGTGTATATCAACATTATGCGGCAGATATCTGCCGTTAACCTAGCGTTAGCCTTTTGCTTATTATTATATCTGAATACTGCGATCGCAATGACGGACAGCTAATAAGCATGTCCAGTCATGTGCATCCCTTTATAGTGTCCCCTCAAAACAGTTTCCGTTACGTCGAGTTTGCAGCGCATTTCTACATTTGTAGCACTTTTTCTTACTGCTGTTCAGGTGTCTATTAATTAATGTTTTCATGTGTTGGCAAAGATGTTTTTTTTATTTGCTTGTGTTGTGTCTATGTGCATGTGTTTTCTTCATTTGCAGTGTGTTGAGCTTTCAGGGCCACCATATAAAATACCAGGATAAATTTGTTATTGGTTTTGGTCTTGTCATGGGATTTAGGAATTAGTATTATTATTGTCATTATCTCCCCCTTTTTTTTTTAATAATAATGATAATAATATACCTTCTTATTTTGTGTTTATGCTTTTTTATTATGCCCTCCTTGTTTTTATATTTGTATTACTATTATCTCATATGATAAATTGTGTTTGTTATGTACTGTATGATGTATCTAAAGCACATTGAGTTTATGCTTGTCGTATATAAAATAGAAATAAAGTTGACTTGACTTGCAAAGGAAAAAAAATAGAATATCGCCAAACTTATTGTTTAAATCAAAATATTTTTTAAAAATCTGCAGACAAATGGATGCAGCTCCAACATAAAGAACCACCATAGATGCTTTTTTCTGTCCGGGGGGGCTGGGTTTGGAGGATGGTTGAAGACTTCTACAAAGACCACCACTGTTGTCAACAACCCCTGCTCTCTGTTAGTACACTGTCTGTCCGCATAACTAAGATGAATAACTCTGATGATGAGTGCATATCCTGTTTATGACCCTGCATTTCTTCTCCAGACAGAAGTTCATCTTCGACACACTGAAGCAAACTGTAAAATGGGACCAGTAATGATTTTGTTCTTTTGAAGAAGAAACAAGAAATCCTCTCTTTTGATCCCAAACAGGGACACTTAAGGCCTCTGGCACTACAACAGTCCAGGGTACAATGAAACAGTGTAACCGCATTTTATTATGGGGATTTTCTCTGTGCTGGTCCACACCCCTGCCAGGATAATAGCTTGGTCCTTCACTGCTGCCATGGCTGTGAATGCAACCCATGTAGTTTCTCCTTTAAGGCACGAAAACAGCTTCTTTGTAAAACTGCTACTTTGTGATACATGAACAATTCTTCAATGTGCGCTCCAAGGTTGTTTTTCAATAGGAACTCCTTTTAAATAATTTGCCGTGCCTCAAAACGCTGCACAAAAAGAACTTGGGTTTGACATTTGTTAAATCTTTCAGACCTGGTAATTATTGTTTGATATGAAATATTTTTTCAGCAATGGCAGCTTTAGTAACACCAGCATTCTCCATTTATTAAACGAACGATTAACAAGCTTTTACATGTTTCTGCTCCGCTGGCACAATGAGCCCATTCATTCAGTTACACATTCCAGGTCAAAAACATTATGATCACTTTCCTGAAAATTCCCCCTCACACCTAATATGGTGCTTAGTGTAACATTGTTCGTAGGTGCTCTGTTGGATTCTTCTCCCATGAAAGAAGGTTTCCCTAACATTTAGCACAGTGAAACGAGGCCCAGAACAATAGACAATGAAAAATAGAAAGCCAGGGGAGCAAAGAATGCAGCTGATTGTATCTTTATCAGCCGCCATTTCAGTCTGTAGACTGAATTAACCGCATTGTGCGCCTTCTTGAATCACCTTTTCATGAGTCTGTCCTAACAAAACAGTACATCAATTACACGTAATCTTTTGGCCCGAAGAGCTCCCAAAGACTCCAAACTCAAATGATTGTGCAAAAGATAAAAAAAATAAACATGGAGGCAATGTTAAAGAGTTTATTCCAGTTTATAACATAAATAACGTACAAAATAGCAATACTATAGTGGCATAAAAAAATATTTACAGTTGTTAAAATAGAGTGGCGATAAAAAAGTGCATTTCATCAGTGGACGTTGACTTAAATTATGATACTTTTACAGATCTGATTATCTGTCATTTGAAGTGCAATAACATTAATGTGAGTGATCGTTTTCCCCGTCAACTCGGAGAGACGCTGCTACAGTTTTATGGCCCGTCCCTCCTGAGTCACAGATGCTCTTTAATAGATCGGCGCGGTTCCATTTGAAGAGCTGGTGTTGACAGGAAATAAAGAGATGTTTAGTTTGAGTTTCATTCATACAGTGGTGTAAAAAAAGAAACAGCCCATCATTCATGCTTTTTCTTGACTCCATTTGTTATATCTACTTCAAGTTCCCACTTTGAGGTCCAGTGTGTAGGATTTAAGGGGATATATTGGAAGAAATGGAATATCATATAATATGTTTCTTTAGTGTATAATCACCTAAACATAGGTTGTGTTTTTGTCACCTTAATTTGGGTCGTTCAAATCTACATAGTTAACCGGTCCACATTTACCGTGATCGCAATGTTGCATCGCCATGTTTCTACAGTTGCCCAGAACAGTAAAAACCAAACACTACAACTCTGGATTGGGCCATTCACGTTTTCACATCTGCCACCGTAGCTAGCAGCTCCTCTGTGACAAACACTTTTTAAAATTAAGCTCAACACAAGTTCAGTCAGGAAGACTTTCTTTATGCTACATCCATTCTCAATTGACCTATGGCTAAGCCCCGCCCTCAAACGCGATGAGCCAATCACAGTGTGTATAGCCATTCCCATACACTCGGACATTCTCTGCCTGGACGTCCATTGAAATGCATTACAGAAAGTCAGTTTGTTCGGTTTTATGAGCTTTTTCTGAGATTTGAAGTTTAAAAATGGTCAAACGGTGTGCATGGGGTACATGCAACTCTGACACAAGGTATCCTGAGAGGCTGGGCGACAAGGTGTATTTTTTACACTTTAAACCACATCTCAACTGAGAAAAGTGTCTCCTTTGGATAAAGTTGTGCGGTAACGTTAGACCACAACATCAACTCAACGTGAATAAGATTAACAATGATGTCTACATCTGTTCTAAGGTAAGTCAACATCGTGTTTGAGGCAACATACTGTCACTTTGCTGGAAAGAAATATAAAGTTATCTTTAACATCTCTAGCTAACGTTAGCTAAAGTTAGCCTAACGTTAGCTCCTAGCTGCGTTGTTCATCATGTCACCTTGTTTGCTGGGAGTTCATTAGCCTATTTTGTTCTAGTTTTGTACTTTGGTGATCGTACATCATTGTTAGCTGTTGTCCAAAGGGCTCTAGTTAAGCTAACGTTAACATCTGGAGCTTAGCTTCATTAATTTATCTGTAATCGCAGAGATAACAAAGGTTGGCAAACGTTGCTGAATGATTCAGTGTAAATACTGTAGCACCAAATTAACGGAGAGACACTCTTGGTAAAGATGGTAAAAAGGCCGTTATCCTTTTATCATATTCTGAGCCAAAAACCTTAACTTCAGTGGCACTTTGATGCACCAAAATTTCCAGTTTCCAAAGGCTTGTTCACAAATAATTCACAGCTTACATGCTTATACTGGGACCTGTAAATTTTGGCTTGTAATTTAAGCTTTTCATTGACCTTCTCAAAAATCATCAATTGCCTCCTGCGAAATGCCATGTACTGTGACACCTGCCATAGTGCTGGTCACTGAATGTTGATATTTTGTCAGAGTGAGTGGAGGGGGGCGTGGCTTAGCAATAGGTCAATTCTCTCTCTGTCCCACTCCCACCACTTCCACCAATAAGCTGACTATGGGAGTCCTGGTTAGCCAAACAAACTTTGCCACAATCTCCTTCAGCAATTCATGTTGCTGCTGCCAAACTTTAAGTCTGCTCTCCTCTCTGCTCCTGTCAGCTGTCATTTTAGGCGGCATTTTCATGAACTCCTCCACCCCATTCGCCTCCAGAGCCCAGGATGAGCTCATCAAAAGCCTACTTCTATTCACACCCAGTTCCTCAGCTTCCTCTTCATCTTATCTCATCACTACCAGCATCTAGACCCCATGGCATTCCGTAATCTACTACGTCTTTACCACCCTCCTGGAATAGATGGCATCACAATGGGGTCTAATCGCCAAAGACTTTTCACATTTCTCATACTTATGTGCACATGTAAATAAATATTCTTTTTTCTCAGAACAAGTCTCTCCTGACTGAACATGAAATGGCTTTATTCAGTGTATATACCCATTTAAACTTCCAGCTCTGTTTGTTTAGTAGAGGAGGAGACCTCTGCGGAATATTGAGCTCACTGTAAAATCCTCCTGAATGTCTGGAGCGTCTGGAGCACACATTAAGGTATCAGAGAAGAAAGATAAGACACATAGCAGGCGCTGGGCAAGCAGCCCGTTTCTGATGTGCCAAACAGCGCTGGAGAAACGCTGATTTGTAATATGAAACAGTTTTATTTGGAGTTTTTACCGTTTAGAACCACCTGGTCCGTTACAAGTTGGAATGCCATGTTCCTACAGTAGCTTTAAATGAACAAACCAAACACTGGCTCTGGATTGGGCAAATCACATTTTTGCGTCTGCCGCCATAGCTTGCAGCCCGTCAATGAAAAAACCCAATTTTTTTCAGCACGAATCTGCTTTATTCAGTGTTTTTACTGCTTTAAATCATCAGGTCAGTTTGTTTTGGAGAGGAGGAGACCTCTGCGGATAATTCAGCTCCCAGTTAAAACCTCTTGAACAATAAACGCTGAGGGAATTCTAACCAGGAGAAGCAATCTGCTGTCCTCACTCCTACATATCACTAATTCCTTAATCCCCCTAAATCCTACACACTGCTCATTTAAAAACTGTATGGCAGCTTTTTCCTGGTGAACAAGTAAACAATTCTTTGATATGGTTTTGAAGGCTTTTTTTTTTATGGCAGTAGATCTTAACAACAGTAAATACAGAGAAATTGACAGGTACCTTAGTCAGGCAGGCAATCTAAAGATTTTGGAACTGTAATAACTCCGGCTTCAGGTCTTCTCTGGTGTCATACGAGCTATGATGTCATCAAATAAGGAATTTGTGTCAGAATTGTTGAGTTTTTATGTTACTTTTAATTTAATGTTAATTTCATTAGTTCACCAGATGGTGTTTTATTGCATACTTCATTAGAAATGTTAGTGTTAGTCATTGCAACTTTAAGACGATGATTTTTTTTTTTTTTTTTTGGAAAATAAGCTTTGGCTTAATGAAGTATGTTAAAGCGTGCATATGATTATATGAGATTCATGTTTCAGGAAAATTTCTCCGGCTGAGTCTGAGCTATTTGGTTTATCAAAAGTGAATTTCAGAAGATCAATATGAAGCTTTAGGGATGTTAGTCTCTGGATGTTTTTAAAATCCAATTCAGGTCACAATAACATGAATGTCTGACAAAGAAAAATGCGAAATAGCCTGTTTCGTGTCCAGTTTTGTTTTTTAACTTGATTATTAAAGACATCCTGAATCATTCCAAGCCAAGGGGCTTTTATTTTCCTGAATCTGATTTCTATGTCACAGCCGCTTTTATCAAAGGATTTCCTGTTGACTTCCCTCATTCCTAAGCATAACTCCGGAAACACAGACATTTAGATTTCCTTAAACTGTTCAGAAAATACAAAGCAACTGTGAACCTGCTGCAGAGTTAGCTTAGTACAAGTTACACTGCATGCTGTATTTCTTCGCAGAAATCTGTGCTAATGTTGACCTGTATGTTACTTTGCATTAACGTACAAATAATGTGTAACCATCAGAAGGTAAAAAGAGCAGGCAGTGCAAAGAGAAGAAGCAACAGAGGTATAAAAGGCATAATCAGGTATGAGTCATGCATTTAAGAGTCAAGTAAAATACTGGATCTCACCCTTTTCTCTTCAGAAGAAACTTGTGTAAAAATAGTACAAGTATACCCACAACTGTGAAGAAAAAAAAACAAACATTTATTCTAATTTGTCTTTCAACTGCAAAATCTGCAAAAACTGTAAAAAACTGAAGAAAAATTGTACATTACCTAATACAACGCTGATCACACTGACTATAACGGGCACATTTCCTGAGAGACACATGCAAAGTTGAATGCAAACCCTAAATAATAACCCATGTTAACATATCTACCAGTGCTGGGGCTCAATGACTTACCAACATCCTCACTGGTATCTATAGCACCATCATGCTTGTCTGCAAGTATAAAATAGTATCATTAGTATGCAAACTATTTAAAGGCCAACAGGAGTGACTCGGGCTACATCAGAAACATTATAAACACACACAACAAGGTCTGTTACAAACAAAAAGTCGTATGTGTTGCTTCAGCTCATGTCAGTGTCTCCAAGTTGGATCAGTAAAGGGGAAAAAGACCATTAATTAATGACCACATTAATGATTAATGTATTAACTTGCACAGGGACTGGGAGAGGGAGACATGTCTGTGAATATTAAATGACAAGTCTCCTCAGGCAGTAAAATAAAACCATTATTGTCTACATTGCAAACAATAATAAATACAAGGCAAACTAAAAGCTGTAGATAACAGTGTTAAAGGAATAGTTTGACATTTTAAGGAGACAAATGTACACAAGCTTTCTGGTGGAGACTCAAATGAGAGGGCTGACACCACTCTCATATGTGTCTGTTAAACATGAAGCTGTAACCAGCAGCTGGTTAGCTTAGCCCCCTATAAGCACCTCTGAAACTCACAAATCAACATCTGCTTTGTTCAATATGTGCAAAGTGCAAAAACAATTTCCTACTTCATGGGGGTTATGTGCTAGATTATATCTTGGCTGTGAGCAGTTAGCTTCCTGGAGTTTTTGCTGGTTGCCTTGCAACTGCTCAGAACCAAGAAACAGCCCAGCACATTACCATCCAATAAAACAACAAATTGTTGTTTTTAGACTTCAGTTCATCTTCTGTAAGTCTCTGCCAAAAAGTGAATAAGCTTATCCCAAAATGTCAAATTACTCATTAAGGGGGAACTATGCCCATTTTCTAAATTTATCCCTGTTATTCCTATGGTCTGAGACAGTCCAAAAATATAAGTTAACATAAACAACTCCATCCTAAATCCAAAAGCTACAGTGCTATGACTCGACCATGTGATGTCATTCGGTATAAAGTCTGAAACTGCTCCACTGACAATGAATCAGTAAAGATGTTGAGATGACGCTGAGAGCACCCAGGGGAATGTTCTGAGTATAGACCGAATCACAGTAGCCCTTTTTACACGCGGTATATGGGGTTGCTGCAAAGTTCCTTCTTCATGCTGCCTTTGAATTTTTACAAAGAACCAAACCACAGCGGCATCATGACTCTCCAGTGTGTGATTTTAGATAGCGTGCCGGCATCTCAGAGGCAAAAGAGGTGATGGGTATGACGCAACAGCAAAGTCAGCCTCTTGTGTGACATATGACATGCGTTGGCAGCGCATAACAATGGAAAACAATAACAATGGCACTGACATGGCAATAACAATCATTTAGCATTTTTGTTATATTGCAGTGGATCTCGTCCTCTGCGCGGAAGGTAACAAGCTCCTGGACATCATTGTTTTCCCAGTTTGCGGGCATTTTCAGCCACTGTTTTCTTCTTTGAGTTAGCTGCTAACTGCTGTCAGCTACTTTTTAAATCTCCTGTAGTGGGTTGCATACATCAGTAGTTCCCAACAGGTGGGTCATGGTCCAAAAGTAGGTCACAGGTCCACAAGTGTCGAGGTCCCCGTCTTTTTGCTGTCATATATCAGAATCGTGCTGCACTTGGTACACTCGACGAAGCTGACACACACACTGTCACCGTCGACAACTCACATGTGCACGGCCAGTGGCGCCGTCAAGGTGTGATAAGTAGTTGGCTCCATAGCCTAGGTTTATTATGAGGAGCCCAACCCGTCCGAGCCAGAGGATAGTAGCGGGAAATTACAGCAGTTACTCAGGCAGAGAATCTAAGATCTAATACACATACAAACACATAATCAAAATGTTGCACCCGTGCCACCCATGATGCCATCCTGTCAGCTCTCCCTTTTACACAGATGGTTGTTTTGGTGCTGTTACTACCTCTGATGCCAGCTTAAAGGTAAGACATCTCTGTCCCACCCATTCTGTGACTTTACCTTTTAGACAGAGAAGGAGGTGAGGCGGAATAACGGCGTGAAATTCCTGTCTTGAAGAAGCACTGTAAAAGCGACCCCCATCTACGGCAGCACATTGCTTAGCTTCCATGAGAGTAGATTTGGTCTAAGATGCAACACAGTACTTAAAATAAGCACTCAAGAAACGTCAAAGGATTCGGACCACCATGTTTCACTGTCTACTTTAAAATGTTACAGTTACAGCTGAAAATGACAAGAGAAATAATCAAGCTTGTTGATTTTACATATTTTCGCAATTCAAATCAAGTGCCAGTTGTCTACCAGGAAGTGGTTGTTGTTGTTAGTACAACTTCATGGTGATTCAGTCTATACAGGTACATTTTCTGTTGCAGAGCTGAGAACACTACAACAGAATAAAGCTCATTTGGGTATAAAAAAAAGAAAACACGGTGGGTGCATAAAATCAGCTGTCAGACTATATACCCTATGACATCACCGCTTTGAGACCGTCTGTCTGCTTTGAGAGAGAGGAGCTCATGTTCACAAATATTATTTGGACTTTAAAAGGCCATGGAAATAACATATCCCCTTTAAATCAAATTTGTTAGTTTAAGAATTTCAGTGAATGTCTAAATCCAAATAACTAAGACTCTCTCCTTTCAGTGCGCTATGAGCTCAGCAGACCTGCCTGGTGGTTTAGAGTCAGCTGACCACACTGATGAACATGTTCATTCTCCTTGTAAATGGTTTTGTAAGTTCAGCATAGAAGTCATTATATTTTTATGACTTTGCTGCCTCTAATTTTCACAACTATCCATCATTTTGCCATCATGACCAGTTTCAAAGTACTAAATCTCGTGCTTGACTTACAGAACGAGTTCAGTTTCCTCAAACTATACTTTACTTTTATTTTCATCCCACAGTGATGACAAAAAATCTTTCTTCCCTCCACTGAAACAACTGGGTAATAAGCTGAAACAACAAATAACAAACCAAACAGACCTAAAACTCACACAGTTAAGAAGTCTACAGTTGTCTAAAGTTAAGAGGTACATTATAATCTAACTGGAGTCCTCAGAGGGTTGCTTGGGAGGCTCAGTAAAAATCCAAGATTCAAACTTGACAGCTATTTCATTAAATTGTTCAATACCTTGAAATGGAGATGACGTCATTGATGCTACACTGGCTGTGCTAGCTTTACCCTCAGCTGTCAAAATGCCTCTGCCACCTTTGAACAGAGCAATCACAGTGATTCTTAGTTCTTTTCCAGCTTGGACAGGATAAAAGTGATTTGTCAAGCTGAGAAGCAATTTCTGAGAGGCATGCAGCATGCACATAATCCATTCATGCTGCCAAGTGCTGTGCCTAAAAGGATTTCAACTTAATTACATGCCGATGGAGACATTTTTCTGTACCTTGTAGTGAAGGTGAGACAGTTGGTGTTGCACTGGCTGTGACAGTTTTAGCTCTGTGAGCTGTGAGTGTGGCAGATGAATCTGTGGAAGTGGACACTTCTGTGGAAAATAATAATTGTTGTCAAAAAAAAAAAAGGAAAAAAATCCCACCCATGAAGGAAAGTCTTAAAGGGACAGTTCACCCATAAATAAAGTATACACATTTTTCCTCTTACCTGTAGTTGTATTTATCAAACTAAATTGTTTTGATGTGAGTTGCAGTCAGAGATGTCTGCCCTCTTTAGAACATAATAGAACCTCATGGCACTCGGTTTGTGGTGCTCAAAGCGCCAAAAGAATATATTTAAAATATTAAACAGCAGTGTCTCTTTCCAGAAATCATGATCCGGTTACTCAAGATAATCCATAGACCTTGTTGTGAGCAGTTTCATGTAGGAACTATTTTCTTACTACCGAACTACACCCATGAACCGAATCACCACACAGAAGGAAGTGTGCATCTACTCATGGACTACAAGCTCGTGCTCACTACAGCTCTAGATTTAAACATTAATGGCGCCCTCCTTGGCTGAGCTGTAACAATAGGTAGCTCAGTGTAGTGGTGCTAGGTGAGCTAGATGTAGATGCACACGTCCTTCTGCGCAGTGATATGGTTGGCAGATGTAGTTTGGCAGAAAGAAAATAGTTCCTGCATGAAACTGCTCACAACAAGGTCTGTGGATTATCTTGAGTAACTGGGTCATGAATTCTGGAAAGAGACATTGCTGTTGAGTTTTTCAGATGTATTATTTTGGCTCTTTGAGCACCCAAGCAGAGTGTCACCTTCCATTATATTATAGAGAAGGCAGATACCTCTACCGCCGACATTTTCAACTCTGCAAGAGCATGGCCTCACTCTGATGTTGTCAAAATCCAGCGCTTGGGAAGCGACTTGCAACGTCAGAAACCAATGAAAAAAGGTGTCCTTTAACGCTGGCATGATACACAGCCGGTTGCCGTTATAGTTTCATGGTGCCCGTGGCGTCAGGGGGGAAACACAGTGGGACAAGGACGAAAGTTAAGGTGGCAAAAGTCCAAGAGGGGCGGGCGGAACGGGTGATGGATGGGTCCAAAAAACACAGACTTTCGCCCAAGAGAGCGATGTTCGCATCCCGTAAGATTCTAAAGCCAAACCCTGTTCTTTTTTCCGAAACCCAACCTTGTGTTTGTTGTTGAAGGAATAAAAAAAAATGCCAATTCGCGATGTTGTACGGACGTAGTGCGTTTATTTTGAAAGAGACTACATGTAAATGTTAAATTTCCTGTGAAAACAGAAGTGTATCTTGAAAGAGAGAACTTGACACTGTGTCTCAGAACGTCAACAACCAACCAAGGTGCCAGGGTACCTTGCACATTGTATGTGGACATGGAAAGTCCACGACCAAAATCTCAATATGTGACGAGGTCGGAGTGAGAATGTGTTGGCAACTCACAGCAAAACACTCTAGATTGATAAATAGCGTTACAGGTATGAGGAAAGATATATATTTTTGATTTTGGGGTGAACTGTCCCTTTAAATACTTGAAGGGATGGAGGTGGGGTAAAAATGATTGAATATGTAGCAGTTATCATCTGTCTATATATTTGTATACCTTGTCCTGGAGGTGTAGGTGTAGGTGTTGGTGTTGGTGTTGCCATTTTTGTTGTAACTCTGACTTCTGTTGTCCCACCTATGAATAAGAAAACTACTACATTTATCTGGGTTAAAATCCTTCATCAGCCATTTATAAGACTGATGGTGGTGGAGCATGCATAGAGATTCCTGTTTACATGCAGAATGTGCTGTGCCTACAAATTACAGTCATGCATCACTAACATGCGTCTTGCTTCACTCTGTGTGCCTTGTAGTAGAAAGCTACACTCAATTTTGTGTTAGAAGGAGAACTTTGACCAATGACCAACTCTTTAAGGTTGCTCTTTAGTCAACACACTGAAGCAGTTAAGGAGAACATGAATGTGGCAGTTAGAAAGCAAACAACTTGGAGTGAGTGCAGAGATGAATGGTGAATAGAAACATGTTGTAAAGCTTGAATACTGCTTAGAGTTTCCAGAGGGGGGATCTGAGTGATGATGTTTAAACTTGAAAGCAGGACGTTCAATGCTGAGTGTCCTCAGTGACACCATGGCAACACTTAATAGTATGTGAGCTGTATTTAATTGAATACAGTATATTATAGATAAACACTTCATTCGGGTGCTGAAAAGTGCACCGCAGCTGGTTACTGATCTCACAAGCCTCTGTTTATGCCCATTAAGGACTGGAAAGTTATGACCACGCCCGTGGTTTCGCATGTTTTAGCCTGTTAACAAGTCATGCGCACATAACACGACAACATGTCAAAGCATGGCAGAAGTTTCTTGACTGATTTATTACATGTCAGACAGCCACTATTTTAAGGCATTTCGGTACAATATGAAAATAAACAGGGAAAGCTTTGAAACTAGCTTAAAGGGACAGTTCACCCCAAAATCAACAGTACATATCTTTCCTCTTACCTGTAGTGCTGTTTATCAGTCTAGATTGTTTTGGTGTGCAGAGTGTTGCAGATATTGGCCATAGAGATGTCTGCCTTCTTTCCAATATAATGGAACTAGACGGCACTCAACTTGTAGTGCTCAAATCGCCAAAAAAGTACGGTACAGGCCAAAAGTTTGGACACACCTTCTCATTCAATGCGTTTTCTTTATTTTCATGACTATTTACATTGTAGATTCTCACTGAAGGCATCAAAACTATGAATGAACACATGTGGAGTTATGTACTTAACAAAAAAAGGTGAAATAACTGAAAACATGTTTTATATTCTAGTTTCTTCAAAATAGCCACCCTTTGCTCTGATTACTGCTTTGCACACTCTTGGCATTCTCTCCATGAGCTTCAAGAGGTAGTCACCTGAAATGGTTTCCACTTCACAGGTGTGCCTTATCAGGGTTAATTAGTGGAATTTCTTGCTTTATCAATGGGGTTGGGACCATCAGTTGTGTTGTGCAGAAGTCAGGTTAATACACAGCCGACAGCCCTATTGGACAACTGTTAAAATTCATATTATGGCAAGAACCAATCAGCTAACTAAAGAAAAACGAGTGGCCATCATTACTTTAAGAAATGAAGGTCAGTCAGTCCGGAAAATTGCAAAAACTTTAAATGTGTCCCCAAGTGGAGTCGCAAAAACCATCAAGCGCTACAACGAAACTGGCACACATGAGGACCGACCCAGGAAAGGAAGACCAAGAGTCACCTCTGCTTCTGAGGATAAGTTCATCCGAGTCACCAGCCTCAGAAATCGCAAGTTAACAGCAGCTCAGATCAGAGACCAGATGAATGCCACACAGAGTTCTAGCAGCAGACCCATCTCTAGAACAACTGTTAAGAGGAGACTGCGCTAATCAGGCCTTCATGGTCAAATAGCTGCTAGGAAACCACTGCTAAGGAGAGGCAACAAGCAGAAGAGATTTGTTTGGGCCAAGAAACACAAGTAATGGACATTAGACCAGTGGAAATCTGTGCTTTGGTCTGATGAGTCCAAATTTGAGATCTTTGGTTCCAACCGCCGTGTCTTTGTGAGACGCAGAAAAGGTGAACGGATGGATTCCACATGCCTGGTTCCCACTGTGAAGCATGGAGGAGGAGGTGTGATGGTGTGGGGGTGTTTTGCTGGTGACACTGTTGGGGATTTATTCAAAATTGAAGGCACACTTAACCAGCATGGCTACCACAGCATCCTGCAGCGATATGCCATCCCATCCGGTTTGCGTTTAGTTGGACGATCATTTATTTTTCAACAGGACAATGACCCCAAACACACCTCCAGGCTGTTTAAGGGCTATTTGACCAAGAAGGAGAGTGATGGAGTGCTGCGGCAGATGACCTGGCCTCCACAGTCACCGGACCTGAACCCAATCGAGATGGTTTGGGGTGAGCTGGACTGCAGAGTGAAGGCAAAGGGGCCAACAAGGGCTAAACACCTCTGGGAACTCCTTCAAGACTGTTGGAAAACCATTTCAGGTGACTACCTCTTGAAGCTCATGGAGAGAATGCCAAGAGTGTGCAAAGCAGTAATCAGAGCAAAGGGTGGCTATTTTGAAGAAACTAGAATATAAAACATGTTTTCAGTTATTTCACCTTTTTTTGTTAAGTACATAACTCCACACGTGTTCATTCATAGTTTTGATGCCTTCAGTGAGAATCTACAATGTAAATAGTCATGAAAATAAAGAAAACGCATTGAATGAGAAGGTGTGTCCAAACTTTTGGCCTGTACTGTACATCTGAAAAACTCAGCAGCAATGTCTCTTTCCGGAAATCAAGACCCAGATACGCAAGATAATCCACAGACCTTGCTGTGAGCAGTTTCATGCAGGAACTATTTTCTTTCTGCCAAACTACATCTGCCAACCATATCACTGCGCAGAAGGAAGTGTGCATCTACATATAGCTCTAGGGATGTCCTGTCGGCCACCGATATTAGCAAAAAACGGGCATCGGCATCGGATCGGACTGCATGGAAAAATGCCAATCCAAGAACTCCGATCCAGTTTTTCAACTGTTGTGGATCATTATACCTAACCCGATTAAGTAGTTGTTCTTGTTAGAGTAATATTGCTTGATCAAACCTTTTCTAACATGACTGACAACAAAATAAGTGAATATGTATAATTCGCACTTGGATCGGATTGGTATCGGTATCGCTATTAATGTTTAAATCTTGAGCTGTCGTGAGCATGAGCTTGTAGTCCATGAGAACATGCACACTTCCTTCTGTGTGGTGATTCGGTTCCTGTAGGAACCATTTTCGCACTATCGAACTAGACCCGCCAACCATATCACCACATGTAGAGGAAAGCATGCATCTTCTTGATACCGTTAGCTCACCTAAGCTAGCTAACATAACAGCTCAGCCGTTAAAGTTTATACCTCGCAATGTCACCAGCACGAGCCTCTCGTCAATGAGTAGATGTACACCTCCGTCTGTGCAGTGATACATTTGGAGGGTGTAGTTTAGTACAAAGAAAATAGTTCCTACATGGAACTGCTCACAACAAGGTCTGTGGATTATCTTGAGTAACCTGGCCAAGATTTCTGAAATGAGACAGTGCTGTTGAGTTTTTCAAATGCACTTTCTTGGCGCTTTGAGCACCACAAGCTGAGTGCCATCTAATTCCAATATATTCAAGAGAAGACAGACATCTCTACGGTGGATATCTCCAACACTCTGCATACCAAAACAATCCAGACAGATAAACAGCACTACAGGTAAGAAGAAAAATATATATTTTTGATTTGGTCTGAACTGTCCCTTTAAGACTTTGCTTTACAGGTGGAAAATATATTTTGAAAACCATAATTACTTTCCACAGAAGCCTCCACTTCTACAGATTCACCTGCCACACCCACAGCTCACAGAGATAAATCTGTCACAACACGTGCTAATTTCGAGTTGAGCAAGTTTCAAAGCTCTCCCTGATGATTTTCATACTGTAGTGAAACACATTTCAAATGGTGGCTGCCTGGAACGTAACTGTCTGGAAAACCTCTGTTATGCTTTGATATGTTGTTGTGTAATGCGTGCATGACTGGAAGTTAATGTGCTGAAACATGTGAAACCACAGGCATGGCCATAACTTTGCATGTATTTTTGATTTGGGGGTGAAGTGTCACTTTAAGACTTGGCACGTCAGGGCGACAACACTCCGACATCTGAGCCATGACACTGGCAGCAATATTAGATCTCAGAAATGTTTAAATTCACATAATCTTTTTCATTACGTCCATATTAGCATGTTGTGCTTGGTTTCATTTTTAGATAACATACTCAAGCTAATGAATGGAATGCTTTTTAATATCAGAGTCACATATATCTGAATGTCCTTGAACACACCAACATGGACAGTTGGGAGCAGCTTTCTCACAACTGCTTCATCACATGGTGTTAACGTAACAAAAATTAAAAGGTAACAAATGTTCACTGTGATCGTCTACATATCAAGTCAGTGCCTGTCACCTGATTTTCATCTCACATGGAATGGATGGGAATCAAAAGACTAGAATTCTGTCTACAAACTTGTTGTACGGTTTGAAAACAGTCTGCAGTAATGTAAAGAGTTGATGTAATTGTAATTATGCATAAAACTTAGTCCACCTCAGCCTGCCTCTCATTAGTGTAAACACAAGGAAGTCAAACACATGGATGGAGTGTGCTTACCTCCGCACACAGGAGCCCAAGAGTCATATTGACCAGTTTCACTGCACATGATACTCTCTTTCCCAATGAGGGTGTAGCCTTCGTTGCAGATGTATGATATGGTTTCTCCATATTTTGGGGCATCTTGAGAATCCCATGAGTGTCTGCCGTTGGTCACTTCAAAAGGTTTGCCACATGTTACAACTGAGGAAGCAGACAAATGGGTGATTTCACACATCCTTATCAGAAAATACTTTAAAATGAAAACACAAAACTTCTGAAGAAGATTGGAGAGCAGCTTGTGCTGATGCTCATGCAGTCTATGATTACATGCTTTAAGTTAATGCAGTATAAATGATTAATGCGGACATATGTGACACCAGTGGAATTAGATCAATACAAGAAAAACATGCCAGACATATGAACAAAAAATAAAGAAAACAGAGGAACATTCTTTGGCAATGTATTTGGCAATGCAGAAATATAAAATGTTCTGGGAAAAGGTAAGAGTTACAATTGTACTTTTGCTAAGCCCCGTCCCTTTGTGATGGTCCAACAAGCTGTCAGAGCATCACACTGTAACTGCACTCGCTGAAGAAATATTATCATATTTTTGGAAAAATTAAACAGTGATTCCAGAGAGAAGCAGACAGAGGGGTCTACAGTTTGTGTTTGAAGGATATATCCAGGATGTCAAACTGACTCAGCAGCAACAACAGGTTCAAAAGACAAAGATAGTTAGAAGCTAAAGCTGAACTATAGGCTACAGATCACAGTGTAAAAGTGAACCACCACATCACTGCTGATCGCCACACAAGACAATGAATATAAAGGTAATATTTAACAGCTGTGGCATCGCATTGTGTGCAGATGAACAGTGTTTGGCTTCGCCTCCGTGCCACTGCCAGCAATCGAACCTCTTCTGCCAGACGGGCAGGGATCTCCACCCAAACATCGTCAAACAGCATTCATCTGCGCACACTGCAATGACACACAGCTGGTTGAATATCAGCAAAGTTTCCCTGCTTCCCTTCACTGGTTCCTGTACAGCAGGGTCGGTCTTTGTTTCACTGTTATAATCATTAGAAAGCAAAAGCAGCATGTGTATACATTCAGTAGGCTATATCATATCTTCAGTAGCTAGCTAGCTAACCCTACACTTTTCAGGGTTTGATTTTGGTTTTGGAACAGGGAAGAAACATAGATCTTTTTCCAACCTCTCCAGGTAACGAGTATCATTAATACATGACGTGCCCCAGGCACAACATTTAGCTCCAAATCCACAAAACCAGCCTGAAAATGAAGGAAATCGGAAACGGTTGCATTAGAGCCAATGGAGCACAGCTGTGTTGTTGATGGACCCTGGTCTGAGGTGGCCCGAAGCTACGTTATGATTGGCCAGTCTTTGCCCAGGGGTGGGACTACGCAATTGAGAAGATTATTATTTAGAAAAAAAATAAAGAATCTCGCTGGACCCTAAGCTTTTTTCTTGGGCTTATGTCCAGGGAAATATCACTATAATAAAAATGAACAAGCATTTACAGACCTCAGCTTGCTTTATGCCAAAAAAAAATGTAAATGGTTTATGGAGAAACATTCTCAGATAAAGACGGCTGTTATCAAGCCTTCCAGAAAGGATACCTTACATATTAAAGGCTCAACAGAATAAGTTTGAGACCATGTGGAAGACCTACATAAATTATGTTAAGAGTTTAGATTTATCAAATGATCAAATGAATCACTAATTTCTGCACAGTTTCTGAGCTTGTACATTTCTATTTTCTTTTAAATACTTGTCACATTTTGCATTTATTGCAACTAACAAACTCCAATGTGTATAGATTATTATTTACTGTGACAGGAGGAGCATTCTTGTTTTATCATAGATATCAGGGCAGAAAGCTAAAAACATTCTATTCTATTCTATGTCATGTTATGTTTTATATGAATGTAAAAAGGCTATTGTGGGAAATAAAATCCATATTGTCAAATAAACTGTGTTGCTTTCTAATTGGCATAGACAACATAGAGAAAGCCCCCAAAAAAGTCTGGAAACAGCAAGGAAGACCTGCACAGCTGCTCCATATTAAAGTGACTCTTACAAGAGCAGAAAAGCGGCCTTTTGAAAATTGCTTTTGTTGCAGGAATGTACCAAACAATTGTTTAACTGCTTCTGGTTGTGGCTTCAAAAGAGACACTTACTTTCACACTTGGCTCTTCCGCTCCACCCTGTCGCATAGCACTGTTTGTAGCTCGATCCAACGACCCGGAAACTGTTGGAAGATGGAGGGGGAAAAACAGCAGGATTGTTTATTTGAGGAGAAATTAATATTGCCGAGCCCTGATTGTGTGTTGAAATCAAAAGGTAATCTCAGCCTTGAAACTAAATTCTTCCTGGGTTAGTCAAGAACTATGTATCAACAACTTTTATCTCAGCGTTGGGAAAAGGAGAGCCAAGTTTCTGATCAGCGAAACTATAACGAAACACTCTCTGGCGACAGCTGTATTTGCCTTTCAAGGCGATTTTGTTTTCTTTAGAGACTGTTTCCAAGATCAAATCCACCTTGACTTCAGTCATCTAGGTCTACTTGCCAGCAGCACTCTCTGGTCAACAACTGTTGGCAGCACAGCAAAAAGAGATACTTTGTATGTATGTAAATGACCATGAGATCTACTGAGGGCACCCTTTGTGTCGCCACTGGAGTTGCTGCATGCCCACACTTGTTTCTCTAAATTCAAACACATAACTATTTATTTTAAGTCATAAATCAACCAAATTGCGATCACATGGTTCATGTAGAGAGTTATACTCACCCTTTATCACATGTTACTTTTATTGAAGCACCAAACAGGGTTCCAGCGCTCATATTAAAGTTCATATTTGGCTGAGGTTTAGGGGGACCACAGTCGTTCTCTGTAATACAAACACAAACAACACAACATTGCTGTTGGACTTTTAGGCCATGGCATTAACCCCAAAATGACAGAATGTTCGTCAACAGTAGAAGACTGTGAACGTTGAATGCTGTGTTTGTTGCCAGCAGAGTTATAATTAAAGGTCCAGTGTGTAAGATTTAGGGGGTTTTAGTGGCATCTAGTGGTGAGGATTGCAAAATTGCAACCAGCTGAAACTTCCCCCGGTTAGAATTCCTTTAGTGTTCATAATTTGTTCAAGAGATTTTTAACCGGAGCCGGATTTTCCGTTGAGGTCTCCCCCTCTCTAAAAATAAAACAGACCAGGATCATTTATAAAAATTGTATACGCACAAAACAAGCCCTGAAAGCACCACTTCCCACGCAAAAGTTGTGATCATAAAAACAGACTTGGTGGGAGAAACCTTGACCCATGCTTACAAACACTTTGGTGACGGGAAATTGGCAACGCAGATAGCGAGGTGGAGGCCTGATTGGAGAAATTGTCGAATATTTTTTGGCACACAGCAGTTTTGGCTTTTGTCTGTACGTACAGTTCTAGTATGGATCCTATACACTGTTTTTTAAATGAGATCCCAGGTAATTAAAACTGGTAAAAATACTGAATAAAGCACTTTCAAGTTACAAATCAGTCCGTCTCCTACACTGTTCGGCTCTACAGAGACGGGTAGCTCACCCAGCACCTGCTAATGTGTGCTCACCTTTTACCTCTGATAACTTAGGATCCAGACGTACAGAAGGTTTTTACCGGGAGCCGAATTAGCCACAGAGGTCTCGTCTTCTTCAAAAACTGGTAGTTTTAACTGGTAAAGACACTGAATAAAGCTGTTTCATGTTTAAAAAATGGTGTTTTGCCAACAATGTTTATTGTAGAGGGGCTGCTAACTATAGTGGCAGACGCAAAAAACGTGAAAGGCCCTATCTCGAGCCAGTATTTGGTTTGTCCATTCTGGGCTGCTGTAGAAACATGGCAGTGCAACATGGTGTACTCCGCAGACGAGGACCTGCTCCCTATGTAGATAAAACAGCTCAGCCTAAGGTACCGACACAGAACGATTCTAAGGGGGCGATCACACAGAAATGAGACGCTAGAGACGTGGACGCCTCAAAGACGCTTGAAACGCTCGATGCGCTTATTCAATGTGCGCTAGCTACTGGCGTCTGATGCTCAAAAAGTTGAAAATATTTTAACTTTTCAGCGTCTACGCGCGTCTAAAAACGCGCATCTACAAAAACACACGTCTACAAAAATGCGCGTCTAAAAAGACGCTTGATGGTCAGATTCACCGTATCATAGGAAAACAATGGTTTTACTGGCGTTGCGTTTCTAGCGTTTCATCTCGGTGTGATCGCTCCCTTATTTTCAGGTGATTTTACACCAAAGAAAACATACTTACTATATTCCATTTCTGCCAATAGATCCCCCTAAATCCTACACATTGGACCTTTAAAGTAGGCAGGACTCACTTTTGCAGATGAGATCTGGTTCAGTCCAATTGTCATCAACGCAGGTCATACTCCCAGAGCCACCGTCTCTAACATATCCATGGGCACACTCCCAGTGGACCTCAGAACCCTCTGGAAACTCATTCATTAGAAGCGATTTGTCGGTTAAGACAGTATTTTCCATTCCCTTAGGTTTAGAGCAAGCAGCTGGAGATATGAGAGACAAAGGAAAGGAAACATCAACATTTTATTGTTTAAAAATCAGGCATGATGATCACGTTTCAGTCAATACAACAGTAGACCTGAAGCTAGTCACTTGGTAAACCATTAATAAATACTCCTCTGTTTCTTTATTTCTAATAAGTCATCTAGCCTGCATTTATAAATGTTTCTAAGTCATTAATAAAAGGTTTTAATTAATCAAATCTGCAGTTATAAATGTTGTAACTTCAGTTGTAAATGAATGGACTTTGGTCCTCGAGGTTCTCCATTACCTCCCAATGTAGGTTTTCTCAGTAACTTTTTAATAACTGATCTAGAAAGTCTTAATTATAAACAAATATTAACACTATTAGTTACAACTATTAAAGCCTCTGTAAAGACGGGCTTATTGGAAAGTGATACCAAAAAAAAAAAAGGACACAGAGCTTCTCTTCCAAAAAGACGCAAATGGTGTGTCTGTGGTTTACACTGGCAGTGGCACCTTCACACTTTCTGGAATTGTCTTATCTCTATGAAACCACAGAACATTTCTAAAATACTCAGAGGAGTGCACTTTATGGAGGATGTATCTCTTGTCTTGACAGTTCGTCTCACATAAGTAGTGCTAAAATACCCCTACGGAGATGAGAATGTAATAGTATTCAATGCTGAATTTACAGTCTTATACAGTCAGTGGCTGGCCACTTTATTAGGCACACAGCCATAACATCTTATTAAAAAAAAGTGTAAATCCAGCTGTATGTATGTCAAGGTTATAGCTGAAATGGTGTTGAACTGGTCCCTACCATTCAGTATAACACTACTACTAACAATGCTACAACACATAAATGTATTAAAACACCTCTTTGACACTGTAGACAAAAAATGAATATTATATGGCACCTTAAAAGTTTGCATATTGTACATGTGTACCTAATTACGTGGACACTGTGTGTATATTTGCATTGAGTGTTATATTACTTTATGATAAGTTAATATACAACAAACTTAAACTTATTGTAGACTCCAGTTTTTAGTTTTTAAGTCACCATATTGCATTCATTTAAGTGACATTTCAGTCCCTGAGCTTGGACAGAATCAACAGTCCTGTCTGTTCTCGCTGAAACTCTCATGTGACTCTACGTTGATAAATATTATCTCCTTAAGCAGACTGCGAGGCTGATGCGTTTCACTGACCTGCTGCCTTAACCACAAAGAGGTACAGTAACAGCAGGAACTTGACTCTCCGCCGTCCACAGGTGTCCAGGAACACTTCCATGCCGGGCTGCAGAAGGAGACTAAAGATCCTGATCCAGATCCTGATCCTAGAACTGTACGGTCTGCTTCAGTCTTCACAGTAGCGGTGTAGAGACGCGAGTTGCTCGGCCGCCGGTGAACAGTGATCCTCCTCTGAACACAATGCTATGATCCATTTTATCTGGCGTCAAGGTAACGTCAAGAGCCACACTGGCAGGAAGTGGGGGAATGCTTTCACAATAAAAGCATGTCCCCCTCCAGAAACACTAATATTTAATCAACCCCATTGATCATTAAAAGTATGATTTAGTTACAGATAAGATATTAAGCGTTTAATTACGGTTAGTTTAATTTAGTTGCACATACATGTATAGAAAATACAGGAAAAATAAATCAGAAGTTAAAACATTGTACAGGAAAGGTTAGAAGCCAAACTTGACTCATGAATATACCTCCCATATTAAGGACTTCCAGACTAAGGAGTATTACAAAATTGTTAAAGATGTACATTAAAAACAAACAAACAAAAAAAAAGAAAGAAATCAATGAAGTGTTAAGAGTCTTTGCAAGTTTGAGTCCTTTTCAGATGTTTTTTGAATAACGATAATGTAGATGATAATTGTAGAGATGGAAGAAGGTTGTTCCAAAGAGATGGTCCTCTGTATGTCCTGTATGTCATGAAATATTGATTAAGATACATCCTACAATATGGATAAAAGTCCTGAGAGTGTTTTGATGAATATGAGTGGATGCCTTAAGAAGGCTCCTCTAACACATCATAACACACTGATCAGCCATACTATTGTTGTCTGTAGTACACTTGTTTGTGACATATCTGTAGCCGAACTAAACGAGTTTTTCTGGCAACATGTGGATTTTGGTTCATTTTTAGGTTTGGTTTGATTGGGGAGTGACTTGTTACATGTAGTTAAATTACAAAATAATAGTAATTGTAATCAGCTGCAGTCACTGAGATAAAATATGTATAATATAAATGTAATATAAATTATAGTTACTTATCAAAATACTGGTGAGTACAAAGGGGTTACTTCTGAATGTATTCCTTCAGTAAAAAGTTTTCATGTAGGCATAGAGCTGTGATACTCAAACAGTGCCCATAGGCCAAATCTGGCCTACAACAGGGTGCCAAATGGCCCCCCCAACCAGTGAATATATGCTGATTCACAATGGGATTTTTCACCTTTAATATAAATAAGGTGTCACAGTGAATACAATGCATTAAAATAGAGCTTGTTCATCAAAAAAGTGCCAGGGGAAGGGGGCACCCACAGAGGCCTGGGCTAAGCCCTGAATGTCCTCAAATACAAGTAGTGCCCCTGCGAACACCTGACCTGTGCAGCATTTTTGCAACCGGCCCCTGGCCACCTGTCATTTTGCAAGAGTGAGTATGCCTGGCCGAGAGTATCACATTCATCCTGTCACTTTGAATCGTCCTGCTGTACAGGAATGCTTTCTTGGCATAGCCTATTTCCTTTAGCCTATTTTACAGCTTTATTGCCCAATTTAAAACATGCACTAGAAAAGTAATCAAATGCAACAAGTTAAATTCCTTTGAGGAAGTAATTAAAATAGTTACATTTTTCACAGATTAGCTAGTAATCTGTAACAAGTTATATTTTAAATGTAACCTTCCCAACACTGCTTGTCAAGGCATGCCGACAAGCTAACAGCAAACACCTCAACTGCACTCTGGTGCCGAAATTATAATGAAAGGCTTACCATCATAGCAATAAGATAGAGTCCAGGACAGTGGGTATTCTTGTTATTTAAAGCAAACAAAGCGTTATCTTTCAGAATATTAAAAAACTCTTAAAATCCATCTGAGCTTGCTCTAAGCGGCTTAGCAATGTGCATCAAAATATAACATTAAATGTTTATATTTTTGTTAGTATGGACCTGCTACACATCATTAGCTTGGTTAGAATATTTACAATTCATTCCTTAAGTTCAATTTACAGAAACCATGAGCACAATAGTACAATTCATGCACAGCTACCAGTGTTGTCCTGCATGGTAAGCAACAGAGACAGATGAAGTAGTGACATGCTAACCATAACAGTTACCTCTGAGTCGGTCTTCAAGTCCAAATATATCTCCATTTCTTTATTATTTATATTCCCTTAGTCCATAAGGGTCCACCAATCAAATAATCAAAATAATTATTCATCAAAAATGAGTCCGGGTTGTGAATATTATCATGTAAAGTCCATTGCTAACTGTGTATGCTAACTCCACTCCTCAAACTCCTACATTTGTGTTCCTCCTGCACCATATTGCTGGGTATGCTTCTTTTCTTCACCACGTTAGCTAAAAGAAAGTGTCCTCGAGGTTTTGTGTGTGTTTTTCGCTCCGGGACAGCCCTAACAGTACAACAAGCGCTCCCAGTTTAGAAGGCCAATTACCTCCGACATGTACCTTTGCGGCCACCGTACTGCAAAGTCTGAAGGCCTTTCTCTCTTTAAGTCAAGACCTGACAGACTGTGACACTCAATATGCCACATTTTGGATAATATTAAGAGTACAAAAACAATACTTATATAATTAGAAAGCATAGCAACTCCTTTTTCCACCAACGTCTGGGCGTTAGTAGTTGGGATGTTGAGGGATGGCAGTTAAACAAGGGGGACGCATTTTGGTCATCTTGCTAAGATGGCGGATGGTGTCCCCCTTGTTCCTCTTCAAATCACCTGCTGGCTGTAAGTTAGCCTTCTCTTTGTGTACCTGTGCATTTATAGAGATTTTTGTTTTGACTGTTTTGAATATTTTATTTCTTATCTATCTCTTTTTTGTGGACATGTTCAACTATTAATACATATCGCAAAAACAAAATAGTGTCTTATTTTGAAAGGCACAACAGGAAGTTGAACTTTTAAAACAGCGTGCCTTTACATTCATGTATTTCAGCGTATGTCAGACACGGGTCTCAGAGTGGGCAAAGACCTGTTAATAAGACCGATGACACTTCAACAACTTAGTTAAAAGACGTGACTGTTCTTTTAATGACCAGTAAATGAACACAAACTCCCAGTATGTCCACCAGTTAGAGCAGCTCTGTAGTCCCACCTCCTGTAAGAAGAGGAGACGTCTCCCCAACTGTTGCAAAAGTAGAAAGTGGAAATATTATGGGTGTGTCCTGGAAAAAAGGGGGTATTCCCTCTGCTGGTCCTCAATAGGGGAAGCCTCACTAAGAGAGCATGTTATGTGTTAACATAACATTTCAGTACATGTGGTCTTGATAAATAATGCTACTTATAATCATCATCAAATAAATACACAATAAATAAGTCAGGGGTTGTTATAGTGGGGATCTGGATGTTTTTTGTCCTCAGATTAAAGAGTGAGCCACTTTCTGGGGTTTGGGTTATTGTCATGGATACATTCCACAGTTTTCTTCAACAAGGGGGCTGTGCCTCATCGCCTCGTTGCCTCACACACACACTCACTGGGGTGAATTCCAAGGAGTTCACTCCACCACCCATTCTCAACCACATAAGTTTGTTGACAGGGGCCGTCTCCGTCCTCCACCCAGAGTTGCCTAAGAAACACACAGATTACTCAGAAACCTGGCAACACAGAGCTAATAGAGCTAAGTTCAGGAGCATGTCTGTCGCCTTTAGTGAGTGTTTTCTGACCCAGTGAGGGATATTTTTGATTACGCACATTGCATCACTTAAAAGTAGGATATTTAAAGAAGCCTGAGGCCTCACTGGTCTGCACACTCAAGGTGATGTAAAGCCAATAAAATGTGGCCTGTGGTGCACCTCACGCCCTTTAAGGCGATCAAAAACTAGTACTAGCTGGCAACCAATGCCTGTGCACCAAGCCTCCAAGGGCTGTGACATGGCTTGCTGTTCTTATCTCTCCAAACACGCAGTCCAAGTGGAAGGTTAAGACACCACCCCTCTCAACAGCCATCCGAAAAGAATGCATCTGCTTCTCCTCACGTCTGATAACAGAGAAAAGAAGTTGCCACCCAAATGTTAATATCTGTCCACTGCCGCGTAGTTCACCTGATTTTCTCAGGCTCAGACATACCAAGGATGTGATGTAGAGAGTAGCAGGATTATAACCTTGTACTCATACCTCATGTCTTCACACGCTATATCTCTATGACTTGGCAGATATTACCTTACAAAGGGCTTCAGGGGAAATCTTATTTTCCCATATACTCACATTTCACAAAACAGATACACATGACTCATAAATAACGCCTTTCCTGCTGCCAGAGAAATGGTGCCTCTTCTGTTCATATGATAATGATCTCTTCATAACATCTATGATTCACTGAGACATTCACATCTGAATTGATGTGCGCACTTCTCCAGCCATGTGCACCCAACGCTTTACTGTGGGTTGGTGACATCTGGTGGTGTTAAAGGTGAACTACATTAAAATGCAACAGCTCTGACTGATGAAGGAAGTGACAGGATAAACATGATGTAACACTACAAAAATCATGTCTTGTTTTCTTTCTGTTTAAAACTTGATTCAGTGCAGTGGTTCCCTCCTTAAATGCAGTCCCACAGGTTACTAAAAGGGGAACACCACCTGAACTAATAATTTCAAAGTTATTTCCATGGCCCAGGGAAGTTGAGTCAATATTTGTGAACATGAGCTACTCTCTCTCAGAGCCAGAAACTAGACAAGTGAGTCTCAAACTTGTGATGTCATCGGGTATTAAGTCTGGAGCGGCTCCTTAGATGATCGGGGGCCAGATTTTGTGGACACATAGTGTTTGTTTTCTTCTTTTATAGCCAAATGAGCTTTATTCAATTGTAGTGTTCTCAGTTCTGCAACAGGAAATGTACGCATATACTCATTACATTGCCCTGGATGTCCTCAGTTGTCAGGTTTCCATCCAAATGTAGCGCAGATTGTAACCAAAGTTTTGGAATATTGGCAAAAGATAATGCAAATGTATGTCCTTTTCCATCCACTACTGTTATGCACATTGGGAGTTGGTTTATCGAGATAAGCAGTGGGTGGCTCTAATTGTCCAGTCAGGTGCTGAGACCTTAAACAAAGGGAAACAACCAATATTACCAAAGATCACACTGGACAGTGGAAATAGAGTTCTCAACAACTAATACTACAGCTCTGTGCTCTTGGAAGAGTTCTGTTAACCGGC